CGTGTTGGTCCCTTTGTCTCCATGAGGTACGCACACCCCTTGGAAGGCTAGGACACATAAGGTGGGCTAAGGTAACATAGTGTACTTAGGTGTGTTAAATGCCTTTTTTTTGTTTTGTTTTTTGTGATTTAACTTCATTTTATATGCATTGGTGTGAGGTCACAGATCCCCTGGAACAGGAGTTAAAGACAGTTGTGAGCTGCCATGTGGGTGCTGGGAATTGAACCTGGGTTCTCTGGAAGAGCAGTCAGTGCTCTTAACTGCTGAGCCATCTCTCCAGCCCTGCTAAAAGCCTTTTTTAACTTGGAATCTTTTTCACGCTATAATAGGCTTACCGGGGATAGCCCTGTTACAGGAGAAGCATGTATGTATGAACTAGACCATACATAGTCAAGACACAGGACCATTACCGCTGACTGAGGTAAAGGCCGGCAGCCAACGCTCTTGATCAGACAAACTGGACTCTCTCAATATCCTCCCAGGATCAGCCTGCACCCGCCTGGGCTTCAGCTCTATCTCACTGCCTCTAAAGAAAGGTTTAAAACATGTGTGGTAGTGCATGCCCATAATCCCAGCACTGGGGGAGATCAATCATGAGTTTGAGGTGATTCTCAGCCACACAGTAAGTGGAAAAACCAAACTGGGATACAGGAGACCTTGTGTCAGAAAACAAAAACAAAACAAAGAAGGTTCACCTCTGAAGGAGATAACCCTAGCCTAAGGCAGTCCACACCAGTCTAAGTCATTGTGGTGGCCATCTTGGGTGGGAATAGACTCACTGGGCCAGATCCCTCCAGGTCAGAGAAAACAAGCAGGAAGTTTTGCAGAAGGGTATCTACCTATACTGTGAGCTGGGTGTGCACCGAGAAACACAGCTGTCAACCTCCCTCCGTTTGGCTGCTTCACTTTTACAAAGCCCAGTACTGGGACAGGGCTGACGCCAGAGCCCTCCACACCCTTCCAGGCATAATGCCAAAAAGCACACTGCCTCTTCCTAAGGCTGGTCTAGGAGCCAGATGCGAAACACTCCTCGGCACTGACTAACCTCTGTTTTCATTACTGAGGTAGAAGGGTAATTTAAAGCAAACCGGGGCTGGGAAATGGCTCGGTCAGTACACTGCATGCCTACATAAGCATACGGGTCTGAGTCTGGATCACTAGTACCATGCAAAAGCCAGGTGTAATGGTGTGCCCGGTAATCTGAGTGCCGGGGAGACAGAGACCTGAATATCCCGACAGCTCACTGACTGGACGGTGATCAGTGAACTGCCGAGTTCCAGGTAAAGTGTCATACACACACACACACACACACACACACACACACACACACACACACAAAAGGCCGCGAACAACTGAGGAAGGCACTTGACACCGATCTCTACACACACACACACACACACACACACACACACACACACACACACACGAAGAACATATGTCCACTTACCTGATATGACCCATAATGAATATATACATATCACACACACACACACACACAAAACAAATACATTTCCTTTTTTCTGTTTGATTTTGGCTATTCTTTTGGTTCTTTCTTGCTTTCTTTCTTTTTTGTGGCTGGCAATGTCCGTGAGGACAAGCACCCATAAAGCCAGCTAAGAACTCAATTTTCAAGATGGCAGCACCTCTTTTCAGCTCATTCAGACAGCTACTACTGCCCTTTAGTCTGACATAGTCCTCCTGTTTGGGCCAACGAAATCACAAAGAGAAGAGTAAGACAGTAAGAAACACTGAACTGTGGGTAGAGAAATTGTGGACATCTGCCAGGATGGTTCTTGGGGGAAAACCCGCCATAAAGGTTCCTGGCACTAAAGCTTCAGTTTCTCCATTGTATCGGTAGCTGCCCTGCCTCCTTCCAGCTGCTAGGAGGGAAGAGGAGTCCACAGGAAAGGAACGTGTCTGCCTCGGTGGCAGAGTGCACAACTAACACTTACCACGGCCTGGGTTTGTCCCTAGTCCTGAAAAACAAACCAGTCTACGGCCATTCTCTCTGTTCCCACCCCTTAAGGGCTATCAGGCCCCATGGATGCACCTCCCTTGGGAAGTGGAGCATGGCTTGGGAAAGCATGAATCCAGTTAGAACTGAGAGTTCCGAATCTGACTTTGAGACCCTGGGCAAGTTAATTAGCTTCTCTCTGCCCAGCTGACCTATCTGAAGAAAGAAGTAATAATCTAGTCTCTAACCACCAGAATATGAAATGAGCTAATGGATATAAAAGGTGCACACTACAGTCCCAGGACTTAGGAGGCTGAGGCAGGAAAAGTCTTTTTTGTTTGCTTGTTTGTTGTTCAAACAGGATTTCTCTGTATAGCCCTAGCTGGAGCTCAGAGATCCACCTGCCTCTGCTTTCTAAGGGCTGGGATTAAAGGCGTGTGCCACCACTGTCCAGCAAGGAAATATTCTTGAGTAGGAGCTGGATATTAGTCTTGGCAGCCTATTGCCTTAAAAAATAAACTTGTAGCCGGGTGCACACATGGGAAGCAAAGGCAGGCAGCTCTCTGTGAGTTCAAGCTTGAGGACCAGCCAAAGCTACACAGAGAAACCCTGTCCTGAAAAACAAACAAACAAAAAAGTGAAGAAAACCAAAGCGCTCCCCATGAGCTTAGGAGGCACCGAAAGCTCTGGATGGTGTTTGATCGCTGCCACCCTCCACCCTGCAGCTTCAATTCAACTGTCTTCTTCAGGCTTGCAACTGTGGCAGAGCGGCCAGAACCAGAAACATTAGCTGCCCTCTTCGGCCACAGCCTGGCAAATGGTGGCCAGAGGTGCAGCCACAGAACAAACGTCCAGTGACCACAGACCCACATCAGGAGTTTCTTACAGACTAGCAGTCTCAAGCTCACATCCAGGGAACCACCAGATTCGTGGCATCCCTCATGAGAATGGCTGTGTGGCCTGGAACACAGCCTAGAGGTAGCTCCCCAATCCTCAACCTCTCGCTGCAGAGGAAAGGGGCAGCTGGAAAGCATGCACTGCCCTTCAGAAGGTCTAAAAGGCTGTGTCATCAAGCCTCCCTTCCTTCCGGAGTCCAGGCACCCAGCGTGGTTGAGCCCTTGGGTAGGCTATTCTTACTTGCAAATAAGAGGAACCAGGTGACCTCAAGCTGTGACTATCGCCTCCCCTCCCCCAGCATAATCAGCCCCTTTTCAAGCACACCCTCAACTCATCCCAGGAACCTCAGACCTGCCCAAATCTCTTCAGAACAGAGTGAATGCCACATCCAGGCGGCTCTCTGCATCGGCCATCACAAAAACCAGTACCCAACACGACACACCACAGTAGCCTGGCGATAGCACCTTGCTCCTCAGGAACCCGCCCCCAGTGGGTGGAAATGCCTGCTAACCCCAGCTGTGACAAGCCAACCCCACTGCCATTTTTTTTCCAGGTAAAAGGGCCAGCAGAGGCGAGGATACACACAATTCTCCCTTCCTACAAACTTCCCAAGAGCTCAGCCCACTCAGGGGTTGACGCCTCTGGAATGTTGCGCCAGCACCAGACCCGACTCCCCTGAGGGAATAGTCTAAGCTGAGGGCCATGGTTTGTCCAGGAGAGCGCTGCCCAAAGCTTGGAAGTGTCGTGGCTGGGTGGGGATGGAATGTGGAAAATCCACGTCATTCTTGACGTTCCCCCCAACTCTCTTCCACAGTTAGGTCACCCTGGATCTGATCTCACGGCAGTCTTCCAGGAAGGGCACACAAGTCTGGCCTGGCATCAGGCAGTAGCCTGGGAAGGGGAGGCCTGTGCTGGGTCCTCAGCCTGTTCTTCATTGCTCACCTACGGTTTATCGGATGAGGGCCAATCCCATTCTAGAATCGCCGACCTCGCTTCACGTACACCAGCTCCATCCTGACCCGCCCCTGGTACACACTCATTTGTTGAGGATATAAATGAATGAATGAGTGAATCCTTGTGGGCCCCGCCACTTGGTGGCTGACAGCAGCTTATTTCTTCTAAATTCCTACGATTATTTGGCCAACCACTCAACAAACTTTTTAAAAACACCAGCAGCCATTCTCCGCCCATATTGTAAAACCATTTCGGGTTCTGGAGATGCTGCAGGGGGCAGCCACTTTCCCTGTTTAGGCACGAGTATGTGCTATGGGCTCTGTGGCACCCACAGGTGTAAAGGAAGGTGCCCTTCGCTGGAGTCCAAGATGTGTCCGGGATGGGGTTCTTCCGTGTCTATCGCGGGGCCCGTTGGTGGGTTGTAGTCGTCCCTTGTTCATCTTTGAGGGTGGCCACGGCAGAGCTCACGCCTAGCCGAGCGCAGCGGGGGCCTTGGGCCCGTCTTCCGCGCGCAGGGCGCACCTGCAGAGTGCGGCACGACCCGGGGTCCCGGATGTACCAGGAGGCCTGCCCGCCAGCGGACCAGGACCGAGCGCGCGCCCCCATCCGATCTCCTAGCTGTGTAAGT